CTTCAACTGTGTGTTCATTTTTTCCTTCTGTGATAGTTAGGCTAAGTCTAAAACTGATTGTTTCTCAATATTGCTCACCTACAAATGCAAAGATTCTCTCCCTGCTGAAGAAGAGCAAGGTTAAAAAAAACTTCAGTAAACTAGATGAAAAGTGTTAGCTTGGGTCATTTTCTCACATGCCCTTCCATGGCCTAAGAAAATAATTTAGCCTGGGCTGAACAGTGGTTCTGCTTGACTCATGTAAATACACGTGCCTTTTAATTTAGCTGGTGAACATGGGGACCTGCAGAGCTGATTTTCATTTTGTCACAGGGCCTGGAGCCCAAAGTTTGCAAAAGCAAGAGGATCTGAGCTCCCTCTTGCTAACCCCACTCCCACCCCCCATCCTCCCCAATCATTCCAAGAGAAGCACAGCTCAGAGATGCTCCTAGTCTTTTCTCTCAGAAAGGCCTAGTGGTTTAGTCCATCAGCTCTGTCTTTTCCCTAGTTTCTTCTTTGGGTCTGTAAAGATGCAAGTTCTCATCCAATATCCTTCCTTCCTCTTTTGGTTCAAATTTTATTGCACTTGACAGCTGATTTTGCTAGACTGAGGAGTTAAATATTTGTTATTTCTTAGTCTTGCCAGAGGCAGAGTTATTTTACTCTGCTTTCTTTTAGCTTCAGAGAAGAGAGCTTTATTTTGCAAAATTTAACTGCAAGTCAAAAATTACATATTTTTTCTTTCTAAAAAGACCTAGTTTTTTTTTCATGCAAACTCCCTAATGCAAAAGAGAATGGTGAAGTGATTCTACTTATTTATTTACATTTTATTGTAAGGGCGATGTACAGAGGGATTACAGTTATATATGTAAAGTAATGAATACATTTCTTGTCAAACATTGCTATCCTCTCTCTCTTTGACTCCCCTCCTCCCACAAGTTGTAAAATTCGTTTCCAAAATAGTATCTTGTGAGTATCAATGTTGCATTGGTTCACCCTTTGTCCTTTGCCTCACCATTTGGTTATTTCCTTTCCTTTCCCCAGATCCAATAAACCTATATACAAGACATGGGGTACCAAAATAAAAAACAGTGAAAACAGGCTATAAACCAAAAGGAAAACAAAACAACAAAAAGGAAAAAAGAACTAACTACACACAGTACAATCAAAACAAAAAGAAAACCAACCCCCCCACCTCGTTTCCATATCTTGGAGTTCATTTTGATTAGTATCATTTTATATGGTCATATATACATAGCTATTGAGCTATTGTGATCCTGTGTTAGAAGTATCCTAGACATATACTAATTATTACAAATGAGGGAAACCATGAAGCTGTGTTTCTTTGGGTCTGGCTTACTTCACTTAATATGATTTTTTCCAATTCGTTCCATTTCCTTATGAATGGGGCAATGCCATTCTTTCTGATGGAGGCAGATATATATATATATATATATATAATATACATATATTTTTATATAATATTTTCTTGGTCCATTCATCTACTGAGGGGCATCTGGGTTGGTTTCATATCTTAACTATGGTAAATAATGCTGCAGTGAACGCAGTTTTGCTGGTAGCTTTAGTATGGCTTTATTTGTGTTCATTTGGGTAAATGCCTAGGAGTGGCATTTCTGGATCATAGGGTAGTTCTATGTTTAGTCTTTTGAGGAGCCTCCATACTGCTTTCCAGAGTGGTTGATCCAGTTTACATTCCCACCAACAATGTAATAGCATTCCCTTTTGGTGAAATGATTCTTGTCCACTAACATCACTGCTATGCTGGTGTGTACTGATGAATACCACCATGCTGACTTCAGCAATGTGGAACTCTGTGGGGTCTGTGTGAGTCCAAACAAATACAACAGTGTCGAGAATAATGCTGACTAAATCATGAATCACATAGGCCATATCATGACTAGAATACTGGAAAGGAACTGGTCAGTGATTAAGTGGGAGAGCAAATTACTGATTAAACTTAGACTGAAAAAAAAGCATGCATGTCCAAGTTACAAGGGTTACTTAATAGTGCTAAAGTTTAAACCTTAAGAATAAACTTACAGTGCACAAGTTACAAAGAAGAACAGAGAAAAGGAAATAAGACAAAGAGGAAAAAACCCTATCAATCCAAATAAGGCAAGAAGGAATAAGAAAATAAACTCAAAATTGGATAAGTAAGAAACATATAATGAGAAAGTATAGATGAATTATAAAATAATATCTCCAATGTAGATACAATAAGCTATAGTTTAAACATTTTTCAGACCAGATAAAAATTTTAAGTCTGATATTTGAGCTCAACTAAAATATAGAGTTAGAAAGATCTAAATTCAAGGTAAAAAATATAACTAAATGAAAGCTTCAGTAGTTACGTCAATAGTAGTTAACACTATACCCTAAAAGTGCTATTATAGCTGTTCATAGTGGCTCACACCTGTAATCTTTGCTACTCAGGATGCTGAGATCTGAGGACTGTGGCTTGTGTCTAGCCTGGGCAGGAAAGTTTGTGAGACTCTTGCCCCCAATTAACCACCAAAAAGCCAACGTGGAGCTGTTAAGTGGTAGAGTGCTAGCTTTGAGCAAAAAAACCCGAAAAAATAGTGCTCAGGCCCTGACTTCAAGCCCCAGGACCAGTACCATGCACATACAAAACAAAAGTGCTACTATAGATAAAGGGAATCACTATGTAATGATAAATATTTAACTTTTTAGGAAGACATAATCATTTTAAATGTATAGAATAAAGCTATTAGATTAACAACAAGAAAAAATCTGCTATCATAGCGAGACAGTAAAAAGAAAGCTCATCACAACCATTAATAAGTGAACAGTAAAAGGAAGGATAGGAATTTAGAAAACCCAGCCATGATTAATCTAAGGACACACAGACACATGGTGTTTAAGGACACGCAGAGCATTTAAGAGCTGGTGAATGTCTGTTCTCCTCAAGAACATAGAAAATATAACATAACATTGGTCATAAAGCATCTTTAAAAATTTCACATATAATTGTTAGAAATTATAGCTAGGAAAATGTAGCTAGGAAGACATTATATGTTTGATTTTCAAAAAAACCTTACATTCTGAGAAAACATCTCGATCATGCTAAAAATGAAGCCATAATCAAAATGAGAGAATGCTTAAACCAGAATAGAACTTGTGAATATTACTTAGAATAAAATGTATAACTTTAATATACTTATACAAGAAGAAAGCTTTCAAATGAAAGAACTCAATACCTGTATTTAAACAACAAGAAAAGACAATATAAGTCCTAGGAAAGTAGAAATGCATACAGAAAAAAATAAGAAACTAACAAAACATAAGGGAGCATAAAATAGGTATTGAGAAAGCTTAAAATGTCTCTAACTAACAAGATTTGCAAAAGACAGAGTACTATATGTCATACTCAATGACAATAAAAACATAATTAGCATTGCAGAAATTAAACAGAAATTAAGAGCACATTATGAATTACTCTTATGCCAATAAATAAAAGACATAGATTAATGAGAAAATTCTTAGAGAAGATGACTTGTACTAATCAAGAAACAGAATCTGAAAAAAATGGAATCATAAAATAAATTGAATGAATGTTTGCAATCTTTCCACAAAGAAAATTCTTTTTTTATATAAGTTTTTTATTGTGAAAATACTGTACAGAGGGGTTACAATCACATTTCTTATCAAGCATTTTGCCTCCTCCTTTGTTTTTCCCCTACCATCCCTTCCTTCTCATCTGTAAAACTACATACCCCCCCCACATTGTAAAGTTCGTTTGTCGACATACCATCTTGTACATTTCATTGTTGCAATGGTTTAACCTGTATCCATATTTAAACAATTTGTTTTTTCCCTTCCACTCCCCAAATTATACCAACATCAAATACAATCACAAAGAAAATTCTTGATTCACATGGCCTTATAGGAAAATGTTATGGAGCACAGAAGGAACAGTTAATTTTAATATACAATTTCCTGCTTTGAATATAAGAAATTAGAATAATACCACCTCACCCCAGTTAGAATGGCTATAATCAAGAACTCTAATAACAACAGATGCTGGAGGGGATGTGGACAGAAAGGAACCTTACTGCATTGTTGGTGGGAGTGTAAACTTGTTCAACAACTTGGAAAGTAGTATGGAGTTTCCTCAAAAGACTTCACATAGAACTCCCCTATGACCCAGCAATCCCACTTTTGGGCATTTACCCAAACGATCACCAACAAGATGATACTAAAGCTACCAGCACAACTATGTTTATTGCAGCACTATTTACCATAGTTAAGATATGGAACCAACCCAGATGCCTCTCAGTAGATGAATGGATCAAGAAAATGTGGTATATATACACAATGGAATTCTATGCCACTGTCAGAAAGAATGACATTGCCCCATTTGTTAGGAACTGGAAAGACTTGGAAAAAATTATATTAAGTGAAGTAAGCCAGGCCCAAAGAAACATAGGTCCCATGGTTTCCCTTATTTGCAATAACTAGTATATATCTGAGACAAGCAGAAAAGGTCAGATAGGTTGATGTTAGGTGAAATGAACCCCAAGATAAGTATTCAAATATTTTTTTCTTTCATGCGATTGTTTCTAACATATTTATAAGATGATTTCTTTGTTGCTTTGTGTGTCCCTCCCCCACGGTATAACCCCTGTTCTCACTGTATTTGATGTTGGTATAATTTGTGAGGGGAAGGGCAAAAACAAATTGTTTAAATAGGGATACAGGTGGACCCATTGCAACAATGAGATGTACAAGTTGTTATGTTGAAAAATGAACTTTACAACTTTGGCCGGGGGTGGGGGGGCAGGCAGGAGGTTGGGGGGAAGGAGGTGGGAGATGGGAAGGGATGGGAAGGGGAAACAAAGGAGGAGGCTACAATGCTTGATAAGAAATGTACTCATTATCTTGCCCATGTAATTGTAACCCCTCTGTATGGTATTTTCACAATAAAAAAAGAAATTAGAATATTTTATTTGTTTGAGACAGTCTACTATATCTATGATATAAAAAAATCTTACAAAGGGAGAATAAGTAAAGTAAATTATATTTCAATCCTACTCATTAAAAGAGATACAAATGTCCTAGAGAAATATCATTAATACAAATTCAGCAAAGAACTAAAAATGCAATGAATGCATGATGGTCCACCTAGGATACTTTGAGAATATAAGATTGTTTGAATTCTAGGAAACCAATAATATAAATTATGGATGGGTGAATTATTAAGACACCAAAAGATGAAAAGTATACAATTGTTCTAGTCAATACAGAAAAAAAGATTTACTAACAATTCAGTGTGCATTCATTATGCAAAGCTCTTAGTCAACTAACTATAGACAAAAATTTCTTTAACTTAAGTGTCATCCATCAACTAAAACTATGGCAAACACCAAGCTTAATAATGTAGTGAGAAAAACATGCCTGTTAAGGTCAAGACTAATATGTAAGGTAACTTTATAACGACCCAAACTAAGACCCCTTATAACAGACTTTGTATTTTATTAGTCTTTCTACCAATGTCCTTCTGTTTCAGGATCCTATTTAGTACTTGGTGTTGAATTCAGTATTTCTCTCTTTAAGTTTCCTCCTTGAACCTGTAACAGTTCTTTGGGTTTCCTTTGTCTTTCATGATGTTGAAGATTCTTCTTCACTTTGGATTTCTTTGGTCCTTTCTCATGGTTGGAGAGAGTCCAAGGCTCTGGGGAAGGAAATCCCAAAGGTGATATAGCTCTTCTCTTCAAGAGGTGAAGTGTATGTCTTTCTCCTTTATCTGAGCTGGACTTGAGACTTGATAGAGACAACAGAATGTAATTGGAAGGATTTTGTTAATTCAAAAAAAATAAAGCCCGCATCTCTCAGGGTCTTACATACTATTATTTGTTCTCTTAGGACACTGGCCAATTACTACATGTATAGGCCTAAGGTCACCTGCTAAATGAGGACCAGCCACCTAGATTAGAGATGAGTTTACCTACCAGAATCAGGCTAGACCAGACACCACTTAGCCAATCTGTCAGCTAACAGCAGATGCATGAGAGAGCCCCTTAGGGATGAGATGACCCAGCCAATCAAGTCCAGCCTAAATCATTAACTCACCAAATCGTGCACTAAATAAATAGTTGGATTTTAAGGTGTCAAACTTTGGTATTTGTTACATAGCCTACACTAAGTAATATGTTTATATCCAAGCCTACTATAATATAAAATTAGTTACCCTAACCTTTGGTATCAGTCAAACCTGGGTTCAAGTTAGATGGTCTTCATTTGATTATTTTATCGGTTCATCTTTTTCAATGAACAGGAGAATTTTCCATGTATAGGTTCCCCACACAAAACCAACAACACAGCCTAGGACGCTGAAGATACTGATAATGTTTAACAACACTTCCTTAAAGTTCAAGGGTAGGGGGTACCAAGTCTTCTGTTACTGAATGCCCTTTGATTTCAATTGTCAGAGAAAACATTTTTAAACCATGGTTCTACTGTCTTATTACTATCAATTTCTTTAAAAAATTTTTTTTAATTTTTATTTATTTTTCTTTGGGTCCGGTCATGGGGCCTGAACTCTGGGCCTGGGCGCTGTCCCTCAGGTCTTCAGCTCAAGGCTAGCGCTCTACCACTTGAGCTTCAGCGCCACTTCTGGCTTTTTTCTTTTCGCTTATGCGGTGCTGAGGAATTGAACCCAGGGCCTCTGGCATGCAAGGCAAGCGCTTTACCACTGAGCCACCTTCCCAGCCCATTACCATCAATTTCCATTCTACTCTTCAAGCTCTTTTCCTGAAGACTAAGATGAACAGCATCTGCCTATGTACGATAATTGATAGACAATAACCTTCTTGTATACTAGGGTTCTCTAGAGATTGGGGAACAAAGTCTTGCAGACATAGAGGCATAACATAAATCTCACCCTTTCCTTTAAATAAAATTTATGCTGCCAACGGCTACAGAATAATATAATTGCTGGTTTGGCTTGTTAGATAATTGTACTTCTTAAATGCTTTCCTGAAAATAGCTCTCCCCCCTCCCCTTCAAGACTACATTTGCTACTTTCTCTGACTTAGGGATAATTTGAGGGGGTTTTGTGCAATTGTCTTATTGCTAAAAAGCTGCAAGTAATGGCATTATTAAGCATGAATTGGAATAAAGTTTGGCATTTCTTCTATCCTTATTCTGTTCTCTACGGCAGAAGAGGCGCTTTTGTTTCTCTGGGTCTCTTGTTCTCCACCCACCCTCAGTGGCAGTAGAATAGTGTTTAGATTCAAGGAGCAGTTACAAGATTCTAGAAATTTTAAGCCATGAAGTTTTATGCAAATGTAAACATCAAAGACAGACTGGCACAAAGACAATGGCTTTTGACCCCCAGCTTTGACTGTCCTGCTCTGGTTTTGCAAGAGAAAGAGCTGAACACAGTTGTTTTGTCTTTAACCTGTTTATTTAGTAATTCCCTCTGTTTTTAAATTTAGATGTGCAGGGGTTTGGACCATGAACTTTCTTTGAACTTTAGATTCAAAGAACCATCACGTTTTAAAAATAAAACAGGGAATGCATAATAGTACAGAAAAAAAAAGATCAAGACTTGTATTTTCAGATCATCAAAAGGGAGAAACATGTCTGGTTTTATTATTATGGTATCTTTAGCTGTGGCCAGAGTAGTAAGCTAGGTTTTCTCTTTCTTAAGCTGTTTTTTCTCTTTCTACTAAATCACATTTTTTTTTTCCAGTTCTGGGGCTTAAACTCAGGGCACCATCCCTGAGCTTCTTTTGTTCAAGGCTAGCACTCTACCACTTGAGCCACAGTGCCATTTCTGGCTTTTCCTGTGTATTTGATACTGAGGAATCGAACTCAGGGCTTCCTGCATGCTAGGCAAACACTCTACCATTAAGCCACATTCCCAGCCCCTAAATCACATTTTTTTAGCTACTCCAGATGCCAGTAGGTGTTTCCTAGCCCTGTTACTTGGTTTTGGACATTGGAATTGTACAGCTACATAGAAATTAGAGAGCAATTTCTCACTGAGGACCACACACAGAATTTGTTGCCAGTCAACACTTTACTCTCTTTAGTCCAGAAGGGTGAATGAAATCAAAGGATAAACTCCTTGCATCCTATTCAGTATTGATTGATGTGGCCTGGGAAAGAATTCCTTCATGGTTAGTGTTTGAATGTGACCTACTTTCCTTCCTTCCTTGCTTCCTTCCTTCCTTCCTTCCTTGCTTGCTTCCTTCCTTCGTTCCTTCCTTCCTTTCTTCTTTCCTTCCTTCCTTGCTTCCTTCCTTCCTTCCTTCCTTGCTTGCTTCCTTCCTTCGTTCCTTCCTTCCTTCCTTCGTTCCTTCCTTCCTTTCTTTTGACTGGGATTTGTTCTCTGAGATTTACATTTGCTAGGAAGGCATTCTACTGCAAAACCATTGCCTTAGCCCCTTTTTGCTCAGGTTCTTTTTGAGAGAGAGTCTTGCTTACTGCCTGGACTTACATCTCTCAGTTATAAACCACCTGTTGGAGTCTTCTTGAAGTAGCTAGGATAACGGGTGGACACTACCATGTCTACCTTCTTTATATTGAGATAAACCCAGACTTTCCTGTCTACACAGGCCTGGAACTTTGATCTTCCTTATATCAACCACTCACATAGCTAGGATGACAGATGTGTGCCACTTCACTCAGCTATTGGCTGGGAAATCTAGCATGTATGCCTTAAAAAATGACCCCCTTAGCCAGGCACTGTTGGCTTATGCCTGTAATCCTAGCTACTCAGGAGGCTGAGATTTGAGATCACGGTTCAAAGGCAGCCCAGGCAGGAAAGTCCGTGAAACTCTTATCTCCAATAAACCACTCGAAAACCAGGAAAACCAGAAGTGGTGCTGTGGCTCAAGTGGTAGAGTGCTTGCCTTGAGCTGAAGAGCACAGGGACAGCGCCCAAGCCCAGAGTTCAAACCCCCCGGCTTGCCAAAAAAAAAAAAAAAAAAGATCCCCTTGATCTCAGTCTCCCAAGTAGCTAGGATTACAGGTATAAGTATGGACACCTAACTTTGAATGTAGCTTTAAAATACAATATGACTTTTTGTGTGTAATGAATGAAGGAAATGAGGTGTTGGGGAATAATTCTCAGCAAGAGTCATTTGTACCACAGTTCAACCTCCTTATGAGATTGTGAAATCTTTCTGATCTCTTTGATGTTCAGAATTGTACTTGCTGTTTAAGCCTCAAGTTTACAAGAGCAGACTCTCCGTGGATTGAGTATACTACTTACGCTTTGTGTTTGAATCATGTTTTGTTTTTAACCATTAGAGAATGTTTGTATAATCTCTCCTCTTCGATAGTCCATGGGAGCCCACTTCTTTTGGACGATAATCATACTTGAGTGGGGGAAAGGCAGAGCTGTTCTCGGAATCTGTTTCTTCCAGCAGCATGGGCTGCACTTAGTTGCTGTGATTTGATCAGCCACATAATTTTCACCAGTTCCTTTGATATGGTACAGTGACTGCAGGGCATGTGGTTGACCGGAGTTGACCACTGACTCTTCTCCAGTGACGCGTAAAGCTGTGCCTGGACTGGCCATGGAAGCAGGCACCTCAGGAATGTTCTTTTCTGCTTCCCATGGGCTGATGTGCCTGCACCTCACACTTGTTTTCCAGTTTATGGAACTTCTCTCCCAAATGATCTCTTCCTCTGGGGCATGACAGCCAAAGAGTACCTCCATGACTAAAAGGCAAGAGCTAGGATGATGATGATGATGAGTGTGTGTGTGTGTGTGTGTGTGTGTGTGTGTGTGTGTGTGTACTAGGGCTTGAACTCAGCAGCTGGGTACCGGGTACTGCCCATTAGTTTTTTTTGCTCAAAGCTGGCACTCTTATCTTGAGCCACAACTTCCCAGAAGGGAAACTAGAAAGCTTTCTGGTAGTTAATTGAAAATAAGAATCTTCAGAGTTGGCTTCAAACCATGATGATCAGATCTCAACTTCCTGAGTAGCTAGGAGTACAGATGTGAGCCATCAACACCTGGCTAGAGCTAGATTATATCATACAGTGCTTTGGCCAAATCTTGTCAGAAATAATAGCAGTTACATGCTCACCCATAACACAGACTCCCCATTTCTTTTGTACCTACTGATTCAATTTCACCTCCTGTACTGTTATTTAGTGAGTCTTCTACCATTAGACTTTACTGCTTTCTCTCCAGATGTGATCGTCTCATGACCTTTGTGACTGTTTTTATTTATTTTCCTTAAGTAGTTATACAAAGGAGTTTCCTCTCACATGTGAGTTTATGAGTACAATGCATCTTAATCAATGCCACTCCTCTATAATTCTCCTCATTTCTCCCAAGTCCACTCATCCCTTCAATTTACCTGGTTCCATTTTCACACACACACACACACACACACACACACACACTGAATATTATGACTGCAGTCACCTACCCTTTCTCTTTGTCTAACCCCCTTCCCTTGACTGCATCCTTTCTGAAAACAAATGTTCCAACTTCCTGGTATTTGTTTTGTTACACTGTAAGTTAGTTGTTCAAAGAAGTTACATCATCGCTATCCTCCCTGTACATACCATACTCTAGTTACCGTGTTTGTATATATATATGCAGATGCCCCCTTATGTATCATTTAGTTCTAATTTCCACACATAAAACTGGATTTGCAAGATTCTTACTCCAGTTTCCAATGAGTGCAATGTGGAGCCATGGGCCTGTGTGATGGGCCTGTAGCTTTAGGTGTTTTCCTCCAGTCATCAATGATTAACGTATCAATTTCACACTGGAATGCATGACTTATTCCTGGGGTCAAGAAAACAATTCATTTATCTGTGACCGTGGATCTGGCACTGTACTTACTGTGAAATCGATGAAAAGAATAGATGAGTCCTTGTCACTTTGGGACAGATTTCAAGAGGGACAGCTCTTGAGGATTAGCGTAGATTTAGATCCAGTGATAGTCATATTTTACATCTTCAATGTTGAACCTTCTATTTGCTTTGTGTGTGTGTGTGTGTGTGTGTGTGTGTGTGTGTCCAGTAGGTGTAATGTCAGAGTTTGAATTCAGAGCTCCAGCTTGGGTTTTTACTGGTTATTTTAGGAGATAGAATCTCTTGGATTTTCTGCACAGGCTGGCTTCAAACTGCGATTCTCAAAAATTTAGCTTGGATTATAGACACGAGCCACTAACAGCTGGCCTATTTGCTTTTGTAAAACTCCAATCCAATCCTAACAGACAAAGAAACAAACCTTCTATGACTGTGTAGAACCACATGCATGCTTTTAGGCTTGTTTTCTTGTGGCCTGGACAGACATATTCTGCTGCTTCTGTTGGAGTCTTCTTCGTGATATACATTTAAAACATCAGAGTTGTCAACATTGATAATCCATTTTCTTTATCCCTTTGGGCTTCTGTAAAAGACGTCATATAGCTATGAAAATTCAGTGGCAAGAAATAATAAAATCATCCCTTAAATAGCCAGAGCTGCTGTTGGAAATTTAAGATGCTCTAACAAGATTGTGAAGTGAACAGCCCACTTTAAAAACAGTAGCCCCAAAAGACTGCCCAAGATCATACTGAAGGAGAATGCCACCCATGTTGAAGAATATGACGGAGTGTGTGAGTGTGGCCACTCACAGTGTACAGGCTTCCTGCCAACATGGCCCCACAATTACAGCTAGAATGGTGGGTAATAGAGACTTAAAGACAAGGGAAAATAGAGCTGGTTTGAGAATGTGCCTCAAATTTCACAAGTCAAGCAACTTCTCTGACATCATGGTAACATTCTGTATGTCCATGCCTGGACTTTAGGGTCTGGACTATGGTTTTAGACAAATTAATCCAGGAAGTACCTCTAATAGGAATAATGACCACTCTGATTCTTTGTTTACTAGGCTGGGGAGTAAGGAGCTTCTCAGGCGGGAATTATATCAATCTTATTTGGAATGTATCTTTACTCCTCCTCCTCTTCCTCCTCCTCTTCCTCCTCTTCCTCCCTCTTCTTCTTCTTCCTCCTCCTCCTCTTCTTCCTCTTCCTCCTCCTCCTCTTCTTCTTCTTCTTCTTCTTCCTTCTTCCTCCTCCTCCTCCTTCTCTTCCCCTTTCCCTCCCCCTTTCCATCCTCCCGCCTCCTCCTCCTTCCTCTTCTTCATTTCTTCGTGCCAGTATTGAGGCTTGAGCCATTTGAGCCACACCTCCACTTCTGGCTTTTTGCTGCTTAGTGGTAAATGGACTTTTCTGCCCAGGATGTCTTCAAACCACAATCCTTAAATCTCAGCCTCCAGCATAGCTAGGATTACAGGTGTGAGCTACCAGTGCTCATCTTCTTCACAGTTTTTGATGAGCTCTATATTTTGGAATGGGATTGGGAACATAGTAGATACTTCTGAAGTGCTAAATAAATATTTATTGGGTAAATAAAAAAATGGGTTAAATACCCAGATGTGGTAAACTGTGTGTAAACTTTGGAATCAGATGCTCCTGGATCCAAATTTTGCTTCTGAAAGTTAATAAGCTGTTGGGTGACCTTGAGTGAACTTCCCAGGCTCCAGTTCTTGTCTTTTAAGTTTAGAATCAGGTGATAACCCCAGATCAATGGCAAGCATGAGCCTATCTCAGACTTCAGAAGTTTTCAAGAGCTGACTCTGTGGAGGCTCCTGGTAGATCAGAACAGTGTCTCTCCCCCAGTGTTAGACTTCTCTACTTGGAAGTGATTTTAAGACTGTTCATAGGAGGGAGGCAGATCTACTTAAAGGGCTGGGGACCAAAGGGTTAGAACAAACCATAGTGACTATATTGAGCTTGAGAATAAGAAACTTTCATTCTAGAGTAGCTCTCATTATGATATACATTATATATGTAAGCAAATGTTGGTGGCTAGCTCTTGTTTTCACTCCAAGATAGAACACAGAGGTGGTGACATCGTAGCAGGGTGGCAAGTGTTTTCTCTAAAGGACTCGCCATATGGGCACTGTCACAACTACTCAGAAGCAGCAGAGGAAATGGGTAGTGATAGGTACATTCTAATTAGACACTAAAACTAGCAGCATTTGAAGCCAGCCTGAGCAGGAAAGTCATGAAACTCTTATCTCCAATTAACCACCAGAAAACTGGAAGTGGCACTGTAGCTCAAGTGGTAGAGTGCTTGTCTTGGGCAAAAAAGCCCAGAAACAGTGTCCAGGCTGTGAGTTCAAGCCCCATGACAGACAAACAAAAACAAAATGTGCTCCCCCTGCCCTAAAAAAAACCAAACACCTAGCAGCATAGCTAGCTGTGATTGTACATACTAGTGTCATAACAGTACTTGTAAGGCTGAGGCATGAGGAAGATGAATTCAAGCCCAGCCTGGGGTACTTAGCAAGACTCCCTCTCATTTAAACAAACAAACAGATAAATAAGGGATAAGACAGATTATGACATCTTAAGCCTATAATCCTAGCTGCTTGAGGGGTAAAGAACAGAGGATACCTGTTTGAGGACATCTTAGGCAAACACAAATTCTTGAGACCTCATCTCAACTGATGGATGGCTGGATACAGTGGTGAGTGCCTGTCATTCCCAGTGACACAAGTAGAAGAATCACAGACTGGTCATCCCAGGCATACAATGAGACCCTACTTTGCAATAACCAACACAAAAAGAGACCAAAGACATAGCTCAAGCAGTAGACTACCTGCCTTGCAAGTATAAGACTCTGAGCTCATCCCCCACCCCCTCAAAAAAGAAATGAGTCAACTATGACTGTAAGTCCCATGCAGTTTCTAGATCCTTGACCTAGAGCAACAAATCCTTTAGCTACATAAAAGCAGAAAAGGTCTTACTACTTTATCTTTAGCACCCCTCCCCCCCACCAGGGTACTAGGGTTTTGAACTCAAGGCCTTGTTCTTGCTATTACACTTAGAGCCATACCCTCAGCTCTTTTTTGCTTTAGTTATTTTCCACAGAGAATCCTGCATTTATGTCCAGGCTGGGCTGGACCTTGATTCTCCTATTTATGCCTCTCACATAGCATCCCTGGCTTGTTCTGTTGAGATGAGGTTGAGATAATGTTTTGCCTGAGGTAGCTTTGGGATTCGATCCTTTTGATCCCTATTTCCTGAGTTGCTGATCTCATACACACAACCCACAGTGTTCAGCCTCCTTCTCTTTATCTTTGAAGACAGCATTCATTGAGTTGACCTTCTAAGTTTTACTTTTATTAAAGTTCAATTGAATCATGGATAAGCTTATTTAAAAATTTTACATAAGAGAATCCGGGCTCATATTTAGAAATGCCTTTATGGCATTTTCATTTCTGATGTATCCATACTCAAATGCAAACCACACATATGCATGTTATAAATATATATGTGCACAGACTTCTCTCTACCTCTGTATTCTGGAATCTTAGGGCTGACTGTCCTGTACTTATCCCCCCACCCCCACTCTCTCATGCCAGTACTGGGCTTGAACTCAGCCTTAAATTGTCCCTTATCTTTTCGTCATGACTAGCACTCCAAGACTTGAGCCACAGATTTACTTCTGGCTTTTAAAATTTTTTGGAAGTTAACTGGAGATATGAGTCTCATGAACTTTCCCGGCTGGCTTTGAACTACGATTTTCAGATCTCAGCCTTTCAAGTAGCTAGACTTACAGGCATGAGCCACTGATACCTAGCCTCTTCTTGTTTTTGAGGGCAGGATTGATAATTTAATAGAATCATCTATATTCTTGTAACAAAGGCTAGCCTTTATTGATTTAAACCTTATTCAGCTTTTTAGCAATGATGTCTAAATAGAGACAGTGTTTTGAGAAATGATGATGATGATGAAGATTAGTGCCAGTCCTGGGCTTGATCTCAGGGCCTGGTTGCTGTCCCTGAGCTGCTTTTCTCTCTCTCAAGGCTCCTGCCCTAACATTTGAGCCACAGCTCTACCTCTGGCTTTTTTCTGGATAATTGGAATTGAAAGTCTTATGGACTTTCCTGCTAGAGCTGGCTTCAAACTTTAATCTTCAGCCTCCTGAGTTGCTAGGATTACAGGTGTAAGCCATTGGTGCCTGGTTCTAAAAGTATCAAAGTACCTATAACACTTGAAATCTTGCCCCAGTATCTATTCTTATACTATAAGGACTTGAGAATGTTTGGATTTTCCTCTTACTATGATACTGTATTTCAAAATGGATGAATAGTTTTGAAAATAACTTTGTTGATATTGCTATAATACAGAAACAGCACTTTATAACACCAGGGAATGTGTTGATGGATATCCAGGAACCAGATGGCAACTGGAAATATTCTGCTCTATTTAAAAGCAGAAGTTGTGTGAATTAGGAGGAGAAGATAAGGAGGAATGTGGTTTGAGGCCAAACAGGTCAAAAAGTTTGAGACTCTATATCAACCAATAGCTCCTTGCCCTCCCAATTTCACAGGAAGTATAAACAGGGAACTGTGGTTGGTCCATTCCTGACCAGGGAAAAACTAAATCAGAATAAAATAAAATCAGAATAAAAAGGGCTTGAAGCCTTGAGTTAAAATCCCAGTAAAAAGCTGGGTGCTGGTGGCTCATGCCTGTAATTCTAGCTATTCAGAAGGTTGAGATCTGAGGATCGTAGTTCGAAGCCAGCCGGGGCAGAAAAGTCTGTGAGACTCATCTCCAATAAACTACTCAAAAAAATATGGAAGTGGTGCTGTGGCTCAAGTGGTAGAGTGCTAGCCTCGAGCACAAAGAGGCTCAGGGACAGTGCCCGCAGCCTAAGTTCAAGCCCCAGGACTGGCAGGCAAACACAAAAAACAAGAAAAAAGCAGGACTTTTATCTCAGGGTGAGCATATTTTGGATGCATTCTGAGGTGGTAATATATTTTAGATGCACTCCTTAAGTCACGTCCACACACACATAGCTGACAGTTACCTCTACTGAATGAGAAGAGAGCGTTTATGCTGTAATGGCACCAATAGGAAGTCCCATGTTTTGTTGTATGCAGTGGTTTTGCCATCTTTATCTTTGAAACCTCTCACTTGAGTTGCACTTGAGTCAAATACGATGAGTTTATAAAGCAGACGGGCCTTTTGGCTGATGTCAGAGTGGACAGGAATTGCTGGCTGGTTGAATGTGCTACACTGACCAGTTGTCAACCCAGCGGAGCTCAGTTGAAACACAGTCATTTGTTCAAGCACTTTGCCTGCCTTCCTTGCCCATCACTCTGTTGGAGATTAGGGACCAAATAGTAAGTAATGGACAACGGGGGCTTGAATCACAGCTTGGTAGAGGAGCAATGTCTGAGAAGGGGCTCCCCGGGGGCAGGTGTATCTGAATAGGGGAAGAAATGGAGGTCAAGGTGGAGCAAGCAATTTGTAAGCTAGAGCCCAGACTATATCCATGGAGTGGCAGGAGATAAAGGCTAAGTGGTAGTCAGGACCTGTGATTGTAGAGCCTTGAAGGCCATACTAAGGGGTTTAAAGTTGAGCTCTCATGAAGCATAATAGCCAGTACAGGCTTTCCATTAGAGAATGGATGTACTCATATGGATCAATATGGATCTCCATATGGAGGAAGGCTTTCTGGATTCCAGTGAGGCTGATGATCTGGGACGAGATGATCTGGAAGTGATGGAGTAATGTCAGGGAGAGGCTGGTTTGGTGATCTTGTTGGAGTCTTCAGAGAGCGTGAGCAAAGCAATGGCAAAACAAGTAGAAAAGAAGAGAGAATGGAAGACTGAGTGTTTGAATACGAACTTGACACTAATGCTTAGGCTTGTGGCTTGGAAAAATCAGATCAACAAGCCAGCAGGAGAAGGAGCAGGTTTGAGGGAAAAGATGAGGAAGATTTTAAAAACCAGTCTTAAGAGGCATATCTGAGGAATTGTGTAATGAGCCACTTAAGGAGGCCTTTGGAGAAATGAGATGCGATTGTTCTGTTTAAAAACAGGATCCCCTCTGGGCTGGGAAGGTGGCTCCGTGATAGAGTGCTTGCCTTGCATGCATGAGGCCCTGGGTTTGATTCCTCAGCACCACATAAGCAAAAAGAAAAAAGCCGGAAGTGGTGCTGTGGCTCAAGTGGTAGAGCGCTAGCCTTGAGCTGAGAGCTAAGGGACAGCGCCAGGCCCAGAGTTCAGGCCCCAGAACTAGCAAAAACAAAAACAAAAAACAAAAAACAAAACCCAACACCCTCCCCCCTAAATAAAACCCTAAACAAAAAACCAAACCCCAAACAAAACAACAACAACAAACCAACAGGATCCCCTGTGTCCAGTGCAGGTAATTCATGCCTGTAATTCCAGGGGGTAGAGTTCTGAGGTTCTGGCTTTGGTTTGATGGGGCCAGCCAAGGCAGGACATTTTTTTTTAAGACTCTTATCTTCAATTATCTACAAAAAAAGAGCCAGAAATGGAGCTGTGGCTCAAGTGGTATGGCACCAGCCTTGACTAGAAAAGCTAAGGCCTGAGTTCAAGCCCCAGTACTTGCACAATAAATGAATACATATAAATAAGTACATAAAATAAATACATAAATAAAGTAGGACTCTCAGTTGTTAACGCAGCTACTCAGGCGGTGCTGATCAGGAGAACTGTGCTTTGAGGCCAGACCAGACAAGAAGTTCTTGAGATGCTATCTCAACTAATATCTGGGCATGGTATACACACCTGTCGTCAGAAGGGGTGACATGAAAGCCAAGAGACTGAGTACAATCACCTGAGGAGAGTTTGCCAAAGACAAGAAGAAATCCCTGAAGAATATTAGTATTTAAAAATGGTGGAAGAGAGACCTATAAAGCAGTAAAGATGTTTGATTTGAGTGGGAGCAAGTCAAAACTGACAGGTGGATGGAAATCAGGGACAAGAAAGAGTTTTAAGAAGGAGAGAGTTTTGAGACTGGCTAGGGCTGCAGTAAGGTAGAAATAAACCAGGAATTGAGTATGTTCACCCCAATGCAGAAAGACAAGGAGGTAAGGCAGATGGCTGCAGACCTGAGGAGCTTATAGTGACTGGGGTTGGTGAGGACATGAAGAAATCACTCACAAATTAGACCTGGGAAGCAGAGAGGTAGAGAGGGGCAAAGGGAGGAAGTGAGGGAGGGAAGGAGAAAGATAGGGAGATGAAGAGAGGAAGAAGAAGGAGGCTATGTCAATCAGTTTGCCTGATTAAAGAAGGGCTTAACGGGCCCTGCACACTTCAGAGATGCTGCCATCCCTTTCTCTTCCTCCTTTCTTTTCCATCGTGACAAAGCTGTATGGACCAGAGATTCCTATCCCAAAGCAGCTGACCCAGGGGCTGGTCAGTTGGAATAAATAAACGGAGCTAGATATAATCTTCTCTTGGAGAAACTGGGCTTTGAGGTATAAAATTGGGGGCATTTGAGCGTGAAGCTGGGAGATGGTGCCTGGCATATTTCTTCAGATTGCCTTAAAGCGCCAAGTGCTCCCTGACACGTAACCCTAGCTACTTGAGTGCTGCTCATTTGTAACCAAAATAGCCCTGATGCTACCTTGGCAAGGCTGCAAGGGCTCCATTGTTCTGTTTTCTGCAGCTAAGCTGAATGAACTCCTGGTTAAGTAGTTTCCTGGAAGTGAGGCATTTCTTTTCTGTCTTCCATTTTACACTTAAATGACTTACAAATGCTTTTGCTGATTTTTTTTTAGTATGAAAAATGTTTTTTTTTTAAAGAACTGATACAAACAACCAGTTTGCAGGTAATAATAAGAGATTCTGATTATAGTGGTCTAAAGCTAAAGTTGATGGTTCAAGAGCAGCATGATAGCTTCAGATCATAGGACACTCAAGGTGTCTTCTATCTTTCTGTTCTGTAAGTTTTACACCTTGCTTTCCACCCCTGAGGTCACCCCAAGAAGGTTGCTGGAACTCCAGCTATCACCAGCTATAACTTAGCTAGCTTTTGCTGCAATAATTCTGAGGAACAAACTAGTCCAAAATATAACAACTCAGAATAATGGATATTTTTTTGTCTCACTCTTGAGTCTATAGGTCTGTTTGGGTGATCCTGCTTCGACTGCAGGTCTGCTGAATTTAACTGTCAGGTTAACTGTACATATCTCCACATTTTTCTTAGACTAGTAGCTAGCTACCTTGATGACTGACAGAAGTGCATCAGAGGAAGCTAATTTGATGGAATATAATATGTACCCCCACACACATATCAAGCTCTGCTCATGTTATGTTCAATAACATCCCATCACTTAAGTAAGATAGCCAGGACAGAAATAAAGATGCATTAAAGTGCCCCGGGCTTCAGAACTGCTGTCCTTCCTTCTTGCCCTTTTCTTTCCCACTGAGTCATAGCAGAGAGATGCTGAGGTCTTAGGGCTATAGAGGTGATTCTCAAAGGCCATGTGTTAGAGGTTTGGCTTCGAGCCCATGGTACTGTTGGGAGCTGATAGAACCTTTAGGGGGCGTGGCCTAGTGGGAGGACCTTAGGATAATGGCGCATGCCCTTGAAGGGGATGTTAAGACTGAATGTCTCCTGTCTTTTTTGTTGCTTCCTATGCCTTGAGCTTCCATCCTGATGTGTGCCACCACAGACCCGAAGGCAACAGAGCCAAGTGATTGTAGACTAAAGCCTCCCTGTGAGCCAAATGTTTCCTCCATTCAAGTTCATCATCCCTGACATTTAACATGGGTGAAAGTTGTCTGACATTGGTGGGTTGTCCAATTCTATTAAAGGATGGAAAGGAGGAGTTGCAGCAATAATCTAACATACTCCAGACATTATGTCTGAATGTCAGAGTGAGAAAATGGTTGAGAGGGACAATTAGCTTCATCAGGCTCATGAAGGAATCCATCTGAAAGCTCTCCCGACCCCAACAAATCTTCCAGAAATTTTCATAGAGCCAAGGATTTGAAATTAGGGGCTCAGCATTTGCTCAACTGGCACTTGCTCTATTATTTGAGCTATGTGTCCAGCTCTACTTTTCTGGTGGTTATTTTAAAGATGAGTCGTGCAGACATTTCTGTCTTGATCTTTCTGTTTTCCTGCTTCCAATCGAGGAGCCTCTGGATCTCAATCTCCCGAGTACCCACCAACATCCAAGATAAAATATATTCTTGATTGTAGGTTGCAGTGTGCTCAGCTAAAACGTGGGGCTCTACTCGCAGCTCAGAAAGCAAACAAAATAGACTGAGAGTGGGCAAGCAGCAGCTTCGCCCTGTGCAGTAATGTGCACTTGTGTCCGTCCCTCGCCAGGGTGAAGTCATTTTGGATTGAAGCATTCATTGTGATTGCCCAGCTTGCATATCTCAATAATATGTGAAGGATGACTTCCTAGTTCAAAATTAAGCAGTGCCATACTGTAAAGAAGAAAATATGTCCAACCTTTCCTTAAACTCCATTTCTTTAATTTATGTCTGCCTAAAGTATAAATGATAGGACCAAGAAACTTTTAGTCCTCTAAAAAGACAATGTTTAAATATCTCAGGGCCACTCTCCTCCAAAAGAAATATCCAAATAAACTCTTTCTGCAGGTTTTGCTAAAATTTTTCTTCCTTAATTACTCATCCTACAATAAAGCATTTCGTTTGCTTGCTTCTTTTATCCTCTGTTACTCCGTATCACCTTAGTTGATTCTTTTATTACCTGTCTCTCTCCTCTAGAAAGAAAATCACTTGAAGTCAGGACATCTGTCATTTTCTTCACTGTTGGTGACCTGGATTGATGAAAATGTCCCTTGATGGATGATGACTGTGGCCGACAAATCAACGGAAACCCAGAGCTCCTGTTCTCATAGCAGCTTCATGGCACTGTTGCAGCCATTTTGTGACCTGAGGCAACAGGTCTGAAGAGAGAAAAGGTAATATGTTGAAAGGGACCACTTGGAAATCCAGAAAGAGAGTGAGGACACACTTCATCTCTGAGTATCTGAACAAACACAGAAGGGCTTCTTCTAGAAGGGCATCTCTGTAGGTGTGATAAAGACAACCTGTGACAGCTGGTCTTAATGTTTCTGTTGAGCAGGCAATTTGACACTACTTGACAAGGCCACTGGGTGATCTGACTGGTCAGTACACAGGCAACTGGAAGCACGGTCAGGAGCATCTTAAGAGGTGATAGGGTTTTCCACGCATGCATTCCGTGGTCCAGAAGGGGTCTGGGAGTCAGCTTCTGGAGATACAGGTGTCCAGGCCTGGGAATGTGGGCCCAGAGCAAGCAGGCAGGCAGACAGGGGTGGGCGGGGCCTGCAGGTTGGGCGGGGCTGGTCTGGGCGGGGCTTGGCGGGGCGG